TAATAACTTTGTTCCGACACGTTATGGTACTTATATTCCGATTTAAACAATTTTGCAAAAGATTTGTTGTATGTGGTATTGAATTCATGCCACGGCATTCATTGTGGAGCTTTAAACTTGAACAAAATAGGCTAAAAATCTGCATAATGTTGCTATACATGCACATTTTCATACCAGAGTGATTATGCAAAAATAATTTCCGCAACAAAATAATATTTTCCAATATATCTCTGGTTCTATTGTTGTAGGTACATGGGTTTTGACGAATTTATTTCCATGTTGATATTTGCTAGTTTTCATTATGATGATATTCAATTTTCCTGGCACAATGTGGTTTCTGAGGTTAATTAATAACAGGTATTACGAAAAGGTATCACCAATATTGGTAATTAAATTTAAAGTGTGGACTGACTCTCAAGCTCTCACAGACTTCAACTTTGTGACTGGCTCGTAACAACTGTCCTGTGTCAATCAAGGGAGAGACTGTTAAACCGTCAGTTCGTAAAGACAGGACACTTTAAGGTCCAAGGGCGGACTGACATTCCGCACCCACAATGTCGCTGCAGGAGCGTGTATGTGCATTTTAAGCCTGTCACACGGTGCGTATGAGCAACGCATTTCACAGAGTGCCACCAAGCGCGTAAAGAACATAAAAAGCCAGAAAATTCGCATGTAAAACAATAATAAAAGCAACGCCATATCATCAACATTCTGAAGCAGCAAGATGCGATATATGTAAATGGGATCAGACCAACTCGCTTTTGTCCCTCTTCCTTCACTAAAGAAAATTCATTGTGGTTTCTCCTTTGCTGTCCTCTACTTTTAAATGAACATTTTTCTCGAGTTCGAGGCATCGATGTGCATATTAATTACATTGTAAGCTCATGTGCTTACTTTTCCCAGATAATAAACGCGACTCTTTGATGCCGTTTGTTTAACAGCCTTGAGGTGGTTCGACTTACCAGATATTATCATGTCGCCACGCTCCGTGGTCCAGTAGTTGATCGAGGCTGGATAGGCCTCCGTATGGCATTCCAGGATCACATCTTGGCCAACATAGGCGCCCTCCAGCTGATTGGGAATCGAAAGCATGGGGGGAACTGAAAAACAATAGAGGTAAATGTTTGTTATTTCATCTCATAGATCTCATAAGAATAGCCTCTCATATGATTTTCCTATCTACTCTGGTGATTTTTGAAGCCCTGCATTTGCCGGAAAAACATCACAGAGCTTTCATCAGCTCTACGGACCCCTCGTCCAGAGCTACGATAAATTTTGCATTCCATTTTACGTGAGTTTACAAACTGTTTTTGGATTAAAAAGCACTCAGTCATTAAAAGTGCGCCTGGAAGCGAGTGATTGTGGCTCGGACAGGGACATGGCTGTCCATCTCTACACGGGGTGTGTGTGCGTAAATAGCTTTTGTTGTGCCACTGTTGATACTCAGCCGAACTGGGGCAGCCAGTGCAGGGCGGGGTGGGGCGGAGCGGAGCGGTGCGTTTGGGTTGGGGAAGTAACAACAAAAGCAGCTCTACCAACGGCGAACGCATTTTGGCCACGCACACATCACGAGGGTACAAAATAACACCTGCCGACAAACAGGCAAACAAACGCCCGCAAACAAAGCGAAATGAGCGCAGTGCATCACAGTCCAGGATATAGAGGAGGTAAGGAATATATCATCTTAATCCAAAAAAAATATTTCAAAAATTGGACACATACAAAACTGTAATTCTTTAAAGAGTTTAAAGTTTGCTGAGGATTTCCATTGAATTTAAGACTTTCCATAATCTTTACGACTATATTTTAAAGGAAATACATTTTATTATTTTGTAAGAAAGGCGATAACTAAAATGGGTTAAGAAGCATAAACCAAAATGACTTTTTCTAACTTTTTTGTGATTCTTTCCAACTGTCCATCTCTAACACTTGCCATTTGCGGCTGTGGGGTGTGGCACATGTATCGACAGCCTCTCTCAGGTAAATTAATTTAACGTGACTGCAGCCTTTGGTCGATTTTCGGCCAAGTACGTGGCCAGCCAAAGCCTCCCACCCCACCCAGTGTTCACCTACTGGTGGCATTGCCACTGCGGTTATTGCACCAAAAACTGCATTGCCAACATGTAGCGACGCATTTTGTGGAAGATTCAGGCTTGTTTTGTGTATTTTACGCATTGGAAACCGAGTTCGTCACATCCATTTCCTTTTTTCACTCCGCACTCGCCTGCACCCCGTCGGTGGACATAAATATTGCATCAGCGTTGTGCCCCAAATGGATTTTACGTTATTTTTGGCGTTGCCGTTTACGGGGCAACCGAAACAATAAGAAGAGATCAAGGGGACTTTACGTAAAGGTTTCAGGTTGGCAAGGTATTTTAATCAGATATTAACGAAGAGTTATTATATGAAACGTAAGCAGTATTATATAAAGTAGTCTGAAAACGGATGTCTGAAAAAACCTCTTTATCATGGGCTTAAAAATTCCCATTTTATAGTTCCTCTTAAGTAAGATCCATAGCTTACTAAAATATTAACGAAATTTACTCACATTGCACTCGAAGATGAACTCGCTTGCTAATTGAAGGCGGGACTCCGTTGGAGGCGACACAGAGATACGCGGCCATATGGAGGCGACTCACTTTGGTGATGTGCAGCAGCTCCCCATCGACCACATTGACTGCAGGAAGAGTTTTATGGTTTGGGGGATTAATGTAGTTTAAGCCAAGTGTAATGGTGACCGCTATTGGCCAAGGGCGGTGCAACGGAATAGGGTCACTCACCGTGTTCCCCGCCAATTAGCATCTCTTCGCCGTCCTCCCGGCGCCACATGACATAGGGTTCCGGATAGCCACGTGCCTTGCACATCAGGGAGACGTTCTGGCCCTCGCGCACCACCATGTCGTTGCTGGTCATGCCCTCGACAATCATGGGGGAACTGTGCGTAATCGATAGTCAATGGGTCACAAACACTGGGGTCACGTGGATTAGTCCGTTTTGATACTCACCCACCACCTGCAGGTAGCCTTTCCGGGAACGCATGGGATCCTGTTGGGAATAAAGTGATTAGCTAGATTGGTTTGTAAACGGACTTGGGAGCATTTAAAGTTTACCGTGTTGACTTGGCACATGTACCATCCCCGGTCCGTTTCCTCCACTTCTTTAATGTGCAAGTACCACTGAAAGAAACAGAGATTAATTTTTAAAACACCTTCCAGGACATCTTTCTTAAAGCCTTGCTTTGCTGATGATTACCCACCGATCTGTGGTCGTTGTAGGTGAGACTAATGCGGTTGTTCTGCGAGATGACATTGTGATGGATGGAGAGTATCGTCTGGGTGTCCACCCGTACCCAGGCCACCTTGTATCCTTTGAGGTTTTCCACCACACAGGCCAGCAAGGCATCGCGCCCCACGGATACGGTGACATTGGCAATGGGCTCCGCAAATCTCGGAAAGTCAGATTCTGAAAGGGATGATAAAAAAAAGGGTTTATCTTTTCAATGGGGCTTCCTTTTCTTTCTGGAGGGCCTTTGCTTGTAAAGGGAAAACATCGGCTTCCCGGTTGCCACTGCACTGCGGCACATTGCGCATACGTCCCGTGTGACCCTTGAAAAGGCGACCATATTAATTACCTTCCTGAGCCGTCTGCTGGGTGTCCAGGCGCGTGTGTTTGCCTGCAGGCGAAAAACGAACAGAACGAAAGTGGTTAGGACATTTAATTAATTTAATTTCCCGGCCAGCGAATATATATAATTGCAAAATGGAATTTTTTGGCTGTGTGGGGTCCCAAGGAAAATCATTTAGTTTAGTCGCAACGGCAGTCGGAAATGCTTTAACCCAAAGGTAGGGTGCCGAATTCAACAACAGGGAGCGCGATATGGACGCCTCGCTCCAACTTGGAGATGTACGAAACTAACCCTCTCTTCTGGCGCGCTCAATTGAGAGAACTGGGGGCCAGATATAAGGATCAGGAAAGGTTCCGTTACTGGAAGTTTTGGAGATTTTCACGGTCACGTAGCATCGAATGTTAGCCTAGAACTTGTCGGTCATTTGAATTTGCGATCGAAAGGGAACAGACGCATCGAAATAATATCTGTAGAATAATCAGTAAAAATTACAAGAAATCGCAGCCACGTGCCCAAGTAGTTGGCCTATTTTTCTTTGAACAAAGACCAAAGCTATAGTTATTGTTATAAGTTATAAACTATAGCAAAGACCAGAAGTAGTGGACAAATAGCTAAAAGGTAAATATAAGGGACAGATAGTGAACAGTTAAGTGAGACATACATATTTGTGTTACAGTGAAGACCCGCGGAGTGATCACCACCGGCCGGTTAGCCTCGCGCAAGTCGCGTGGCGCGTTCGCGCTATTCCTATCCTTGCCGCGGTGTGGCAAGTGGCCACTGACAATACAAAGGCAACCGGTCGGTAGGAGGAAGCGGCGAAAGGTGGAATATAAGAAAAATAAGGATAGAGGGATAGAGATCACGTGGATGAGGAGCCGAGCACACGTGCCAACTAACCCCAATCTGGTGACGTAATAGCCGCTATGTGGGACAGCCAATTTTAAGCCGGCTCATCCGTGTGCATCGGCGTAGCCCAAACGGCTAAAACCACGCCTTAATATTATTGCCCCGGCCTCGTACCGCTATTCCACATTCCCCACAATGACTTAGATCCAGCACTGATCCCAGCACTGACCAAGCACTCACTAGGATGAGAGAAGTTTAAAACGTTTTGTTAATTTGGAATTTAGTATTAAGAATTTAAGAGCCATTTATCTAGGTTAATTTCTATTTCTATTTAGTATCTACATATATTGTAACTGCACATGCACCACACAGCCACCCCATTCCATTACTTATAACACGAGAAGCGACACTTTTACAGGAATCTGCATCTTCGATGGGCCCAACGAACCTGCATCGCCGGAAACGAGCGTAAGTCCGTAAAAACAAACCTAAATGTTTAGCTCCATATAAATATATATTTATAAGTGAATGCGGTGACTATCGGTGTGGCAGATAGGATAATTAACGTAAGATGAAGCTGAAATGATTTTTGAATTTTACCCTTTTGTTTTGAATTTCGATTTATAATTTCAATATTATGTTATGGCGGTCATGAATATGAAGTTTATTTTGAATTTAATATTAAATAGAGAACTTATTACTATGGAATAGACGGTTAATTTTTTGGGTCTGTAGCTTTGTGATGCGGTTTTCAGTCACCTCCGAAGTCGTTTGAATCTGTAGAGAACATTTGTACAAGGGATACCCCATAGATCCATATCGAGGTATCAAGGTAGGGAGGGTAAAGAAAGGGGAGCAAACAACACCTTAGCCACCCTGATCAAACGGCAGTTTCTCTGTTCCTGAATGCAACCTACGTCTGTCCGTTTCCAACAGGTCCCATTACAACTATTTTTCCGATCATTAACGAACAGTGAAGTGCACTTAAATAATTATTAGAGTAGAGTGGTGTTATTTAGGAGACAAGGAAGAACCCCCCCCGTTCCGACGAGCTTAGAACCGAGCAACGCTAGAAGTGCACGACTCCGAAATCTCCTATACACCGTGGGCAAAGACTACCGTCGATCCCAGGGTGAACACCGACCGTAACGGTTACTAACTGTACACTACATATAATAATATGGCGCCCAACGGGGCCTGAGGACATAAATATTATTTATTATATAACATAAAATTTGTGAAACAGTTACTTAGTTTCACGCCCGAAGTGGACGTTGAAGCAAGGTTACTAGGCCCCGGAAGTGAGTTGCGAGACTCCCTTAGTTGCTCTATTTTTTTTTAAAGCTTTTAAGAATTTAGATTCAGACAGAATTCAGGAGCACGTTGAGAGCTTGACAGAAAGATCTGAAAGTTCGCGGATCGGGACGACCACGTGAACATCAGATACTGAAACGGCCTTCTTAGCATGTGAATGAGAATCAACTGAAGAATTTATTGTGGAATTGATGAGGTGGTTCAGGAAACCGTATCTAGGAATCGCGGCCTTATTTCGAGTTAAACGGAATGGCCGACCAGAACGAACCGACACTTCATACCCGATGAGTTTTTGCAGTCCAGTAGTGAGAGTATGGGACATTTGTTTGTGGAGTTACATCTTTCGGAGTTACTTCGATCGAATGGTACCGGAACAAAGAAGACATACTTAAGCTGCTAATTCAACATTGTTGTTTATAATTTTTATTAATGTAGGGTTCAGGGAATCATCAGTAGGAGATACTTTAGACCTCAGTCCAAGGCACAGACCCATATGAAAGGAAATAGTAAGTTAGTTATTCAAGAACAGAATGTCAGTTAGACACAGCAACTCAAATCTGGCAGCAGCTGCTGCAGACGAAGACATGACGGAGTGTGGGATATGTAAGAGGCCCATACTAGCAAAAGAGCTTAAAGCAACTACGCGGTGCGGTCATACGTTCCATAATCAGTGCATACGAGAATGCTTGACGCAAACGTGCCAGTGTCCTTTGTGTCACACCGAATGCACGGCTAATCAACTTTCTTTGTCGCGCAACAATTTGTTGGCAGAACTATCAGCTGCAGAATACGTAGTCGATACGGCACCATCAGGCAGTAACAACATTGTAGTAGAGGTAGATCCAAATCGAAGCAGTGATCCTGCTAGGACAAGGTCACGCAGAGGCAGACCAGTAGTACCAAGAAGAGGAGCTATGCAGCGCACAGGTATGACGCTCAGGTCGAACCGACAACAAAACGAGACGGAACGCCGGGAGCAGAGCCTTGGCACGGAGTCAGCTGTAGATACGTCGAGATCGGATAGTATTGAAGAAATAAGCAAATAGTCCAAGCCGCCATGCAAGCACAGCAGCAGATACTTAAGCAAGACCTCACGCAATTTATTCAGTTGCAATTTGAAAACATGCAAATAGGGAACCAACCCTCAAATACTAGTAGACACAGGTCTGAGAACCAAACTCAGTTCGACAGTGAACACCCAGCAGTATTGACCAATGAGAACAGCCACCAATACGGTCAACAGTTAGGCAGATCCTATTCGGCATTCCAGCCCGCAAAAGTACCAAGCATCATCCAGAGTTGGCACATTAAGTTCGACGGTACGAAGGAGGGATTGCAAGCCGAGGAATTTCTTTACCGAGTTGAAGCATTAGCTAAGCAGAACCTCAGCGGAGATAAACAGCTCTTGTGTGATCATTTACACCTATTCTTTATAGGCAAAGCAGGGGAATGGTTCTGGAATTTCCATCGTTCCTACCAACATTTCGAGTGGAGGGACTTTTGCAGAGAATTTAGGAATAAGTTCAGGGAAAGTGATTCGGATATGGATATCTGGGAGTTGATTAACAGTAGGCGACAGGCAGAAAAGAACCTTTCGAAGAATACCAATTCCAAGTAGAGAAGCTCGTAGCCCGATTGAATACCCCGATTACAGAAGAGTCCTTGGTAAAGCTTCTTATCAGACACGCTAAGCCATCACTTCGCTATGAGCTTATGCATTTGCACGTGCCCACCTTAACTCAATTAAGGTCGGAGATCCGCACACATGAGCAGTTTTGTAGACAGATGCGACCTCAAGCAGGGAGAAACAGCTTTCATCAGAGACCCATAGTTTCGCAATTGGAACCAGACGTTGATAATGAAGATTTCAGTGAAGTGGCGGCAATTCAACGAAAGCAGTTGAAGTGTTGGAACTGCGACAAGCCCGGACATCGCTTTGACGACTGTCTTGACGCCCGCAGTATCTTTTGCTATGGATGCGGGGCAAAAGACACTTACAAGCCCCGGTGTCAAAAATGCAACCCGCCGGAAAACCAGAGAGGGGATGCGACGATCAACGTGAAGTCGTCGCATCCAAGACAATAAAGAACGATAATAGTACTCAAACAGAACTTACGATAAGTCTGTCTCCGCTCAAGAAGGAGCACAAACTTAACGAAACATTACCGGATAGATCAATACAGTTCAAGCCCTATCATATTCGCGAAGCAAATTATAAGGCAGCAAGAGAACGGATCCTAGGGAACGTCAACTCTTGTGAGAGAGAGACTGGACGTTCAAAAAGAAGAATACAGAGATTTTGGAGGGAAGTTCAGATATGTCGACTTTTGAACTCAGATAACAGGCTCTATACAGAGATTGAAATAGAGAAGAACCGATACCTAGCGTTACTGGACTCAGGCGCGTCCATAAGTTGCATAGGTGGCAAAGCAGCTATTGAAGCGACGAAGAATTTGAAAGTGCGCAAGTGCTCAGGTAGGATTAAAACAGCCAACGACGCATTATGCAACGTCACGGGAAAAATCAAGACGGAGATAGTGTATCGGGATCTTAGAAAGCCGATTGAATTTTTGTAATCCCAGATCTTAAGCAAGACGTCTATTTAGGCATAGATTTCTGGCGAGAATTCGGATTATTAGATAAAATTGTGGGACAAGAGCAATTAGTATCGAAATTGCGGAAGACAGAGAGGAGTCAGAGTGTGAAGTTCCCAAAACACACGCGCTTTCGACTAAACAAAGACAGATGCTAGATTTAGTCATAGCAAAGTTACCGTCCTATGAAAGAAACGGTTTAGGGAGAACACCTTTGTTGGAACATAGCATTGATGTGGGTGACGCAAAGCCTGTCAAGCAGCGACATTGGCCGATCTCACCAGCAAAAGAGGAAATGATGTTTAAAGAAGTAGAGAACATGTTGGCCTTAGGAATAATAGAGGAATCCAAGAGTCCATGGAGCAGCAATTGCGTTCTTGTTAGAAAGGGACCCAAGGTTCGCTTATGTTTAGATTCTAGGGAAGTGAACAAACTCACGATCAAGGATGCGTATCCACTACCTCATGTGGATGGCATACTTAGTCGCTTGCCACCAGCTCGCTACATTACGGGACTAGATATGAAACACGCGTTCTGGCAAATACCATTGAGGAGAAGTCACGGCAGTACACAGCCTTCACTATTCCAAACAGACCATTGTATCAGTACAAAGTAATGCCATTTGGTCTTTGCAACGCGGCTCAAACTCTGTGCAGATTAATGGACATAGTTATACCACCAACCCTGCGCACGAGAGTATTTGTATACTTAGACGATTTACTAGTTTTGTCAGAAGATTTCGAGTCACATTTGAGATTGCTCGAAGAAATCGCAAGCCATCTGCGAAAGGCAAACCTGACAATTAATATAGCCAAATCGAAGTTTTGCATGACTGAGATTAGATATTTAGGATATGTCATTGGGCACGGCCAATTGAAAGTCGACCCAGAAAAGGTCAGTGCGGTCGAGAACTTTCCAGTTCCCAACTCCGCGAAACAGCTGAAACGATTCCTCGGTTTATCAGGGTGGTACCGGCGATTTGTGGACAACTACGCCACTATAGCGACCCCACTGACAGACCTTCTTAAGAAGAACAAGAAATTCGAATGGAATAAGGGAAGCCGACGAGGCATTCGAGACGCTAAAGCAGATGTTGACGTCGTCACCAATTCCTGCGGACGCCTGACTTCCAGAAACAGTTCCTTTTGTTATGCGACGCTAGCCTGTACGGACTAGGATGTGTGTTGGCGCAAAAGAATGAAGACGGTGTAGAATTGCCTATAGCATACATGTCTGAAAAATTGTCAAAGGCCCAACGCAACTATTCCGTTACGGAACT